GTTCCAGAGGATGGGGGAGGCTCTGGAGAAGTCCTGGTGATGAGCATGTTACGTTAACATGCCGAAAGCGGTCCGTAAAACGCAGTGCGATGTGCAGAATCGGATGGCGTAGGTGCGAATACCCGTGTGATCCGATTGTAGTGCAGACCCAAAAAAAGGGTCCTGCACGTTTTTTTGGTGCGATGAGATTAGAGGCATACAACATGTACGGCTCCAATCGCACCGCACACAAATCGCATGTGATTGGCACAGGAATGCGGTGCGGTTCCTGTGCGACTCGCATGCGATAGGCCGCGCCGTATATATGTGAACCCGGGCTTACAATCTAAGGTCCCTAACTCGCATTTATACATATGCTGGTAGGTGAATTGGCTTCTGTCTAATTTGTCCCTAGTATGTCTTTGGAGTGTGGGAGGAAACCGGAGTACCTGCAGGAAACCCACACAGGCACAGGGAGAACATGCAAACTCCAGGCAGGTGATGCCTTGGTTGGGATTCAAACCGAGGACCCGAGTACTGCCGGGCTGAAATGCTGACCATTTAGTCACTGTGCTGATATTGGCTTCTATTGGCGCTTGACTGGTTGTATAAGCGGCTGGTGGATTTCTAACTGGCTGGGCTCTGTAGTTCTGCAAAAACTAGGGATGCACCAAGGTGGCCGAAACGTTTCGGCCGTAATGAAAAAAAAAAAGCAGCGATACAGGTGCCAAAAAAACCCCGCTCCTTGCCGCCGCTGCCAAGACTCCGTATTTCTCAGCCTTACCTGAGAAACCATCGAGTGATCCTGGCGCCGGGCATAGAGATGAGTGAAGGAAAGATGGCCGCCATCTCTATGCCCTTGGAGGACCGGAGCGATGTCACTTCCAGTTCTGGCCATTTATTTTTTTTTTTTTTGATGATCCAATGCTTTACATAGCAGAGAAGAGATGTGGGGTCTTATTGACCCCATATCTGTCCATAAAGAGGGCCTGTCGCTAATTATTTCTATGACCAGGGATGCATGCATTCCTTGTGATAGGAATAAAAGTGATTACATTTTTTTTTTTTTTTTTTTTTTATAGGGACAGTGCAAAATAAACAAAACAAAAAAACCCATTAAATTTTGGAAAAAAAAGTTTAAAGTGCCCCCGTCCCCCCATGCTTGCATGTAGTGGTGAACGCATACGTAGGCCATGCCCACATATGTAAATGGTGTTCAAACCACACACGTGAGGTATCGCCGTGAACATCTCACACTAGACCTCCTCTGTAACTTTACACTACTAATCTGTAGAAATATTGAAAGCATCACCCATGGAGATTTTTTTAAGTACAGCAGTTTCTCACCATTCCACGAGCGTGCGCAATTTTAAAGCGTGACATGTTTGGTGTCTACTCGCCGTAACATCCTCTTTCATATTTTACAATAAAATTGGAAGGGCGCCCCATGGTTGGCGTCGGCAGGAGGAAGGGTGCCCCATGGTTGGCGTCGGTGGGAGGAAGGGTACTCCATGGTTGGCGTCGGTTGGGAGGGAGGGCGCCCCATGGTTGGCGTCGGTTGGGAGGGAGGGCGCCCCATGGTTGGCGTCGGTTGGGAGGGAGGGCGCCCCATGGTTGGCGTCGGTTGGGAGGGAGGGCGCCCCATGGTTGGCGTCGGTTGGGAGGGAGGGCGCCCCATGGTTGGCGTCGGTTGGGAGGGAGGGCGCCCCATGGATGGCGTCGGTGGGAGGGGGGCGCCCCATGGATGGCGTCGGTTGGGAGGGAGGGCGCCCCATGGTTGGCGTCGGTGGGAGGAAGGGCGCCCCATGGTTGGCGTCGGTGGGAGGAAGGGCGCCCCATGGTTGGCGTCGGTGGGAGGAAGGGCGCCCCATGGCTGGCAGGGCGCCCCATGGTTGGCGTCGGTGGGGGGAAGGGCGCCCCATGGTTGGCGTCGGTGGGGGGCAGGGCGCCCCATGGTTGGCAGGGCGCCCCATGGTTGGCGTCGGTGGGGGGCAGGGCGCCCCATGGTTGGCGTCGTCGGTGGGGGGAAGGGCGCCCCAAGGGCCAGATAAAGGCAAGCAAAGGGCCACGTTTTGGAGACCGCCTCTCTAGGCATTTTCCATATCTTTCTCTTTTTTTTAACAAAGTTTTTGAGCTTGAACAAAACTAGAATGCTCCAACGGGAAATTGGAACCTAACTGGGATGTTGCGGGGTTGGGGGTGTGTAGGGTGTAGTACAAATACAATAGTGTGTGTGTTTTGTTTGTTTTTGGTTTTTTTTTTCCCGAGACATACACTTTAAGTGACACTAAATTATATCCTTTTATTCTCCAACAATAATCTATACACACCCGCTGGTTAATGGCCCTGTAATCTATTTCCAGTAATTATTTTTAATCTGGTTTTTTTTTTTTTTTTATTTCCTTCCTCCTTGTAATGTCTTCCTTGAGCTCCCAAAAAGGTTTTTTTGTCTTTTTTTTTTTTTCTTTTTGTTTTGGTTTTGTTTTGTTTTTTTTTAATCCCCCTCACCTTTTTGTTTGGAACAAGCAGTGCGTGTTTGTTGCAGTCATGTGCACCTCCTCTGCACACCCCATAGTTCCATCACAGGATTGACCAAGAGGGTGACTACCTTTGTACATACAGTGGGACCATTGGGGATGAATGTAGCCACCCTCTAACACTGGAGTGCTCAACCCGTAGCCCTTGATGTGGTCCTCGACCCCAAACGCAGTTTTGCGCACTTTCATGATAAAGATCCAGCATTGAGGAACTTAGACTGATGACGTCACCGATTCATCAGTTTGCAAAATGCGTAAGTGTTGCGATTGCCCATGAAAAGGGAAATCTGTTAGAGAAAGTGAGAGACCTTGTGTCAGGAAAAGTCTGCCCAACCCCTCCAGGAGCTCCAACGTCACGACGTAACCCTCATCTGAGCCTTTCAGTACGCCGATTAACCCTCCTCATCTGAGGTAGAGTTCGATGGATCTGCAGGGAAGACTTGTGATCTTTCACCCTCCGCTGCTGATCTTTCACCCTCCGCTGCTGATCTTTCACCCTCCGCTGCTGATCTTTCACCCTCCGCTGCTGATCTTTCACCCTCCGCTGCTGATCTTTCACCCTCCGCTGCTGATCTTTCACCCTCCGCTGCTGATCTTTCACCCTCCGCTGCTGATCTTTCACCCTCCGCTGCTGATCTTTCACCCTCCGCTGCTGATCTTTCACCCTCCGCTGCTGATCTTTCACCCTCCGCTGCTGATCTTTCACCCTCCGCTGCTGATCTTTCACCCTCCGCTGCTGATCTTTCACCCTCCGCTGCTGATCTTTCACCCTCCGCTGCTGATCTTTCACCCTCCGCTGCTGATCTTTCACCCTCCCTCCGCTGCTGATCTTTCACCCTCCGCTGCTGATCTTTCACCCTCCGCTGCTGATCTTTCACCCTCCGCTGCTGATCTTTCACCCTCCGCTGCTGATCTTTCACCCTCCGCTGCTGATCTTTCACCCTCCGCTGCTGATCTTTCACCCTCCGCTGCTGATCTTTCACCCTCCGCTGCTGATCTTTCACCCTCCGCTGCTGATCTTTCACCCTCCGCTGCTGATCTTTCACCCTCCGCTGCTGATCTTTCACCCTCCGCTGCTGATCTTTCACCCTCCGCTGCTGATCTTTCACCCTCCGCTGCTGATCTTTCACCCTCCGCTGCTGATCTTTCACCCTCCGCTGCTGATCTTTCACCCTCCGCTGCTGATCTTTCACCCTCCGCTGCTGATCTTTCACCCTCCGCTGCTGATCTTTCACCCTCCGCTGCTGATCTTTCACCCTCCGCTGCTGATCTTTCACCCTCCGCTGCTGATCTTTCACCCTCCGCTGCTGATCTTTCACCCTCCGCTGCTGATCTTTCACCCTCCGCTGCTGATCTTTCTGGTAATTCGGGAAACAAGAAGACTAAGCGGGTTGGATAATTCTCACTAAGTCTGGATTCTGTTGACCTTTTGGAATCTCTATCTACATTTAGATCCACGAATCCTATCAATGATTGACGGGAAGTGAAAGAAACGAGTCATAAACCCGGGGCAATACAGACATTAATATATGATGAAAGGTTACTATCAGCATTTCTAAATGATCATCAGAGGTGTAGACAGACGAGGCCATAAGCAGGTCTCAATATGTCGGTAAAATGCAAACTACTTGCTGACTGACGTAAGTGTGTTAGAGTGGAACTTCACCCTCTCATTCAACATTAGTCAGTAGATAGGAAAGTAAATCACATTTACTTGTAAAAAAAAAAAAAAAAAAATATAGAGAGAGATAATCTCCCAGAAGTCCCCCCTTCACATTTTTGTAAATATTTGATTCTCTCTTTTCACATGACAACACTGAAGAAATGACACTTTGCTACAATGTGACGTAGTCAGTGTACAGCTTGTATAACATGGAAATTTGCTGTCCCCTCAAAATAACTCAACATACCGGCAGTAATGTCTAAACCGCTGGCAACAAAAGTGACTCCACCCCTAAGTGACAAGGTCCAATTTGGGCCCAATTAGCCATTTTCCCTCCCCAGGGTCATGTGACTCGTTAGTGTTGCAAGGTCTCAGGTGTGAATGGGGAGCGGGGGGGTTACATTTGGTGCTATCGCTCTCACTCGGCCATGAGGTGCCATGTTGAACTTCCAGTGACCGGTCAAATAACTCTGAGGATCTGAAAAAAAGAATTGTTGCTCTACATAAAGATGGCCGAGGCTATAAGAAGATTGCCGAGACCCTGAAACTGAGCTGCAGCACGGGGGCCAAGACCATAGAGTGGTGTAACAGGACAGGTTCCGCTCAGTACAGGCCTCGCCATGGTCCACCAAAGCAGTTGAGTGCACGTGATCAGCGTCATATCCAGAGGTTGTCTTTGGGAAATAGATGTATGAGTGCTGCCAGCATTTCTGCAGAGGGTGAAGGGGTGGGGGGTCAGCCTGTCAGTGCTCAGACCATACGCCACACACTGCATCACATTGGTCTGCATGGCTGTCGTCCCAGAAGGAAGCCTCTTCTAAAGATGATGAACAAAGCCCGCAGTTTGCTGCAGACTAAGGACATGGATTACTGGAACCATGTCCGGTGGTCTGATGACACCAAGATCAACTGATTGGGTTCAGATGGTGTCAGGCGTGTGTGGCGGCAACCAGGTGAGGAGTACAAAGACAAGTGTGTCTTGCCTACAGTCAAGCATGGTGGTGGGGGTGTCATGGTCTGGGGCCCTATGGTGGTGGGAGTGTCATGGTCTGGGGCCCTATGGTGGTGGGAGTGTCATGGTCTGGGGCCCTATGGTGGTGGGAGTGTCATGGTCTGGGGCCGCATGGTGGTGGGGGTGTCATGGTCTGGGGCCGCATGGTGGTGGGGGTGTCATGGTCTGGGGCCGCATGGTGGTGGGAGTGTCATGGTCTGGGGCTGCATGAGTGCTGCCAGCACTGGGGGGCTACAGTTCATTGAGGGAACCATGAATGCCAACATGTACTGTGACATACTGAAGCAGAGCATGATCCCCTCCCTTCGGAGACTGGGCCGCAGGGCAGTATTCCAACATAACAACCCCAAACACACCTCCAAGACCACCACTGCCTTGCTAAAGAAGCTGAGGGTTCAGGTGATGGACTGGCCAAGCATGTCTCCAGACCTAAACCCTATTGAGCATCTGTGGGGCATCCTCAGGTGGAGGAGCGCAAGGTCTCTAACATCCACCAGCTGCGTGATGACGTCATGGAGGAGTGGAAGAGGACTCCAGTGGCAACCTGTGAAGCTCTGGTGACCTCCATGCCCAAGAGGGTTAAGGCAGTGCTGGAAAATAATGGCGGCCACACAAAATATTGACACTTTGGGCCCAATTTGGACCTTGTCACTTAGGGGTGGACTCACTTTTGTTGCCAGCGGTTTAGACATTAATGGCGGTGTGTTGAGTTGTTTTGAGGGGACAGCAAAGTTCCATGTTATACAAGCTGTACACTGACTACGTCACATTGTAGCAACGAGTCATTTCTTTAGTGTTGTCGCATGAAAAGATAGAATATCAAAGATTTACAAAAAATGTGAGGGGGGGGGGGCTTACTTCTGGGGGATAGTGTGTATGTGTGTGTGTGGGTGGGGGGGCTAACTCTGATGCCTGTTGGGCTGTGCAGTCCTCTGTAGACAGTCTATGAAAAGCGAGGTGTTTTTGACTATTTTGATTATAAATTTATTTGATTTCGATTAAAGGTTTTTTTTTATTCAAAAAGATTGTCTTTTTGGTAAAAAAATATTTGGTACTTTGAAGCGAACCACAGAAGATAAAAGGACAGTCACGTCATTCAGCCAAAGTCCAGCTGGCGGAGGAATGACGTGATGTTGTAATACCTGAATTCCCTACTGTCAGCTGGGAGCACGGCGATCGCACGTGTTGTAGTATCGGGAGCACGGCACGTGTGTTGTAGTATCGGGAGCACGGCACGTGTGTTGTAGTATCGGGAGCGCGGCACGTGTGTTGTAGTATCGGGAGCGCGGCGATCGCACGTGTGTTGTAGTATCGGGAGCACGGCACGTGTGTTGTAGTATCGGGAGCACGGCACGTGTGTTGTAGTATCGGGAGCGCGGCGATCGCACGTGTGGTTGTATCGGGAGCGCGGCACGTGTGTTGTAGTATCGGGAGCACGGCACGTGTGTTGTAGTATCGGGAGCACGGCACGTGTGTTTGTAGTATCGGGAGCACGGCACGTGTGTTGTAGTATCGGGAGCGCGGCGATCGCACGTGTGTTGTAGTATCGGGAGCACGGCACGTGTGTTGTAGTATCGGGAGCACGGCACGTGTGTTGTAGTATCGGGAGCACGGCACGTGTGTTGTAGTATCGGGAGCACGGCACGTGTGTTGTAGTATCGGGAGCACGGCACGTGTGTTGTAGTATCGGGAGCACGGCACGTGTGTTGTAGTATCGGGAGCACGGCACGTGTGTTGTAGTATCGGGAGCACGGCACGTGTGTTGTAGTATCGGGAGCGCGCGGCGATCGCACGTGTGGTTGTATCGGGAGCGCGGCACGTGTGTTGTAGTATCGGGAGCGCGGCACGTGTGTTGTAGTATCGGGAGCGCGGCACGTGTGTTGTAGTATCGGGAGCGCGGCGATCACATGGGTTGTGGTATCGTCTGCCTGCTTCCTACATACATGTACACATGTGCCCTTTACGAAGGAGATCGTGATTGGCTGGTCGATTCGGTCATCTAGTTGTAGCCGGCATCTCCAGGCCGTCCTCTGTGGTTCTCTGCTGGCCTGGGGTTTATGGATGGCTTTGGTTGGGGAACCAATATAATAAGCAGGAGCATCCAGAAGGATGCGTACACCCAGCCCCCCCCCCCCGGGGTACCACCATTCCACCTTGTGCAGTAGGCGTAGCACCGACGGAAGCTGAATTATACGGCCGTACCTCTAATCACGGGTGTCTCCTGAGGATTCCGTGTATTACTCATTCCCTGTATTTGGTGTGGCCAACCTGACCTGTCTAGACTGCTGAGAACCAGTTTAGGTGTTGATCCGCATGCATTGCGGTGCTCTTCCTCTCCGAGGCATGACAGATTTCTGAGGTATGAGGCATTTGTGACCGAGAATGGTTCACATTTGTGACATACTTGTGAACAGCCGAGTCAGAAGTCCCGCAGATCAGTCTCTATAAACCAATCACGGGCCAGGCTTTGTTGGCAACAAGTCGGTTGTCTGCAGTCCTGGGGTCTGGAGTTTGAAAGGAGAAGGATGGGAATAATAAACATTCATTCTCTGCTCCATGTCTCTGCAGCTGTTCCCTGTCAGGTCTCCGGAGGGCGAGGGGTTAAGCAGTACAGTTTTCATCCGAAAATAAAATGCAATACATGACCTCCCTTCTGAATTTTTTTTTTAGGAGTTCACATCATTGCCTGTGTGACATGGACTCTTCCTGTTAGATTGGTCCTCTCAGGAGAGGGAAGAGGACTGACCTCACAGGGGTATGGTGGTCTCGGGGCCATTGGAAGGGATCTGAATGGGGGTATTGCTTTACCAGGCAAGGTGGGAAAAGGACTATCCGCATGTTAGAGGGAGGTGGTAGAAATTTTTTTTTTTTTTTATCCCGGAGTGGCTTTAATAAATGCAACTTTTTATATCGGCATGTAGATGTGGTGTGGGTATGTTTGTTGCTTTTCTGTGTTTTTGCTGCTTTTCTGTGTTTTTTGCTGCTTTTCTGTGGTTTTTGTTGCTTTTCTGTGGTTTTTGCTGCTTTTCTGTGTGTTTTGCTGCTTTTCTGTGTGTTTTGCTGCTTTTCTGTGTGTTTTGCTGCTTTTCTGTGTGTTTTTGCTGCTTTTCTGTGGTTTTTGTTGCTTTTCTGTGGTTTTTTGTTGCTTTTCTGTGGTTTTTGTTGCTTTTCTGTGGTTTTTTTGTTGCTTTTCTGTGTTTTTTTTTTTTTTTTTTTTTTGTTGCTTTTTCTCTGTTTTTTTGCTGCTGCTTGTTTCTATTTTTTTTCTTAGTTTTTTGTGTGTCTTTGTTTTGTTTTTTTGTTGAAGGGGGGGGGGGGGAGAACTGTTTTGAAAAGGCTGGTTGCCTGGCTGCCATGCACCCCTTCAAGTGGAGCAATTGTGCAAATTAGGAACCTAGAGTTTCTCCAACCTTCCTGGCCAGGCCATTGGAGCAAAGGCAGCCTCTGTGCAAGAGGTTTATTTAAGTGATTGAAGTTTTTTTTTTTTTTTTTTTATATATATATCAAACATGGTGTACTTTTACCTGCTGTGTGTCGTGGTTTTGCACAGAGCAGCCTGGATCCTCCTCTTTTTGGGTCCCCTTGCTGGCGGTTCTGATTCTCCTCTGCCAACGCTAGGTTCACATCTGTGCGGGTGGTGCCGCTGCGGATCCGCACGAAAATCTCGCACCATCCGCACAGAGGAATGTGGACCCGCGGGGGGTGACATTAGTTCTAATGGCACGCCGTCCGCACTGGAAAATGCAACCGTACTGGGAACCTCGGCTGCATTTTCGTAAGAGGTGCAGGAACTTCTCCCCTGCGTGTCACGGGCACGGGAGTCCATTCAAATGAACGGGCCCTCGTGCCTGTGCAAAACGCGGCCCACACATATGTGAACTGGGGTAAGTGTCCTCAATAGCAAGCCTCTTCCTATGGGGGGGGGGGGCGGCACTTGAGCAGGCTCACTCCCCCGAGCCCCTCCACACACTCATTGGCCCACTCGCTGTGATTGACAGCAGCTGAATCCAGTGGCTCCCGCTGCTGTGTGAGCCAATGAGGAGAGAGAGAGACCCAGGAGAGCTGCTGCTCTCATGTCAGGTATGTATAAGAGGTGGCTGCACCCAAGTTTTTCACCTTCATGCGTAGAATGTACCTTTTTAGAACCACTTCAACTTCTTCTAGGGCAGGGGCGGGCAACTGTGGCCCTCCAGCTGTTGGTGAACTACAAGTCCCATCATGCCTCTGCCTTTGGGAGTCATGCTTGTAACTGTTTTGCAATGCCTCATGGGTCTTGTAGTTCTACAACAGCTGGAGGGCCACAGTTGCCCACCGCAGTTGTAGGGCGGGTGTTGGGGTGAATCCCCCGGCGCCCCTTGCTGTGCCCCCCCCCCCCCCCGTGTATAGCAGAGGCATCCTAGGACTTGTGCAATGTTTGTTGAGAGCCGCCTGTGGTCTGCATGCTGTACAGTTACATTTCTGAGCTGAACACACACCCCATGTAATGGAGCGTGACCGATTTCCTTCATTCCTGAAAAGTGTTTTCTGAGATCTGCATGGAGTGACTACAGACAAGTTCTAGCAGCGCCCTCGTCCACCTGTGGGTTGCTGGAAAGCTGCTGGTTGTGCCAGTGAGTGAACTGTACCCCTTCCATCCCGGGGTATAGAAGTCACTGCGACAGCTGCAGGTTTCCTCTCCCTTCCACCTGTTTGGCCCAGAGGTCACACTGTCCGCATGCTTGGTGTAGGACTGCAGCGTCTCCTCCGTCCTAGGAGCGGTGTATTCCCATTGACTGTACAATCGGAGGACATTCCGCTTTTCATTCTCTGTCCTTCGCACATGTCTGGTGGGAGTCCTATAAACCCTCCCCATGGAATTCTGGCCGATAGTCTGATGACATTCCTGGCATATCTCAGCTATTGGGCGAGTGGAGGCTGCGAGGCAGGGAGCTGGGGACCCGCGCTGTGCGTGTCTCGGGGAGCTGGGGGACCCGCGCTGTACGTGTCTCGGGGAGCTGGGGACCCGCGCTGTACGTGTCTCGGGGAGCTGGGGACCCGCGCTGTACGTGTCTCGGGGAGCTGGGGACCCGCGCTGTACGTGTCTCGGGGAGCTGGGGACCCGCGCTGTACGTGTCTCGGGGAGCTGGGGACCCGCGCTGTACGTGTCTCGGGGAGCTGGGGACCCGCGCTGTACGTGTCTCGGGGAGCTGGGGGACCCGCGCTGTACGTGTCTCGGGGAGCTGGGGGAC